CAACAATTGATAAGCTCTCATCTGCAGCAGCCATAACAATGATGGGAGCAGCGGACATGATACCCCCTGCACAGATGAGAAAACGGATCCGTAGTGCAAACTTGTGCCACCCCAAAGGTGCCCAGCAAACATATCATTTATTGTCTGAGGCAGGAGTCACCTTCCGTGAGAGTGAAGGCCAAAGCTCTCCTGTAACTGGTGATGACCAAAGCCCCACAAAGCCACGTGGCAGGCTGGGGATTAGAACCCATGTCTTTGACTCATGTCCGTGGACTTATGTCCGTCCACTCTCTGTGCAGCACCCTGCCCCCTCTGCCGAGAATGAGCATCACCCTGGGAAAACCAGGTTTCCCCACTCTAACTCTGACACGGTAAGAACTAGAGCCTTATCTGGTGCAGATAGCCTCATCCTGGGGAAGGCCTCTCTCTATTTGACATTTTCCTGTGTATTTAGAGAGAGATGACAAACTGCAGACCAAGTTACCAGGTTAATTATGCTTTTAAAAACATCACAGTCCGGACGTGGTGGCTCACCCCTGTAATCCCAGCAATTTGAGAGGCTGAGGAGGGCAGATCACAAGGTCAGAAGTTCAAGACCAGCCTGGCCAATGTGGTGAAAACCCATCTCTACCAAAAATACAAAAATTAGCCAGGCATGGTGGCACATGCCTGTAATCCCAGCTACTCAGGAGACTGAGGCAGGGGAATCACTTGAACCTGGGAGGCGGAGGTTGCAGTGAACCAAGATGTGCCACTGACTCCAGCCTGGGCAACAGAGCGAGACTCTGTCTCAAAAACAAAACAAAACAAAACAAACAAAAAATCACAGACAAGGAGCAAAATGACGGGGAGGGTACATGAGGAACTCAGTGGCGGCTGAGTCTGGCATTCTCTGCCCTTCTTCGGATCTGTAGGTGGGAGTTTCTACCCTTTCCTGGGCCTCTCCTTTCTGGACAACCTGAGAGACAGGCCACCTTAAAACACAGCCCTCATCCTGTACCCGCCCTAAGCCTTCGTCGGCTCCCTATCTTCCATCTTCTCACCTACAAGTATCCTGCTCCACATACACTGGGTGATTCCTGCGTGAGAGGAAGAACTGCTTCAGTGGTCCCGGCTGAGCCAGAAGGACCACTGCTCTTCCTCACTTCCCACCCTTCCTCACCTCCCTCCCATCCTCCCCGTACTCCATCCCACTCCCTGCCCTGAGTCAATTCCTCACAGCCAGGTTCCAAACACTAGCTGCACTCTGACGGGGGAGGGCAGAGAACTCCAGAGGAAATGGCCCTCGGATTAGCATGGCATTTGCTTCTCCAAGCTGTGGTCACCCTCTGGGCTCATGTTCTGCTTCTAAACAACTCTATGCCACAGAATTTCCACTGCCACAGTGACAGGTCTTCACCATTCTGCCCTTGATTGAAAAAAACAACAGCAACAACTGTAAAACTGTCTCCCTTAACCCTGCGAAGTTTCCTCTTGCTGCTTTGTATATTCCAACCAACTGCAATTTGGATCATTGAGCCTACCCTCTAGTATGGGTCACCGATCCACAAGGGATAAAAGGAATCTAGATGCATCGAGATTCCAGGCACTGCGCTAGGTGCCAGGAAAACACATGTGCATGAAACACAGTCCTTCAACTTCTGTGAGCTCAGCAGAACATGTGAATGGGATTCTCCGATGACTACAGTAATAGGCTCTGCGCCAAGTGGCAAGGGAACCACGTGGAGATCCTGGCTGGGTTTGGGAGGAGAAGAGTGTGCCCACCATAAAGGAGGGTGACATTTAAGATTTTCAGAAAGCCATAGTCCAAATTCTAAGACCATGAAAACTGAAAAACAGGCATATTCTACAACCCAGCAAATCTACTCTTAAGAGTATATATCCAATGGAAATGTGGGCACCAAGAAGAACATGCAAGCTTATTCCCGACAATGCTATTCATAAGACCCCAAACCAGACACTGCCCAAATGTCCTCAACAGGGAAATGGATACGTAGGTTGTGGAATATCCTCACAACGGAATGAATGATCTATGACTACACACAATGTGGTGAACCTCAAATGACAGACACAGAAGATTATATCTATATTATGCTATGTATATGAAATGCAAAACCAGGCAAAACTAATCTCTGCCATAGGACTCAGGAGAGTGGTCAGCAGAGAGGAGGGAATAGTGGCGTGAAGAGGCCGCGAGGAGCTTGGAGGGTGCTGTCACACTCAGCTTCCTAATACAGGTACAGGTGACAAGGGTGTTTGCTTTGTAAAAATACGTAATGCTGGACATTGTGAATATGTGCACCTTCTGTGTGAATCTCAGACTTGAATAAAAAGAAAAAATTAAGCATGTCTATTGTCTTAGTCCATTCAGTATAAACTGGGTGGCTTATAAACACCACACATTTATTTCTCACAGTTCTGGGGGCTGGCAAGTCCAAGATCAAGGCACCAGCAGGTTGGGGTCTGGTGAAGACCCACTTTGTGGTTCATAGATGGCCATCTTTCACTGTGTCCCCACATGGCAGAAAAGGCAAGGGAGCTCTGTGTAGTATAAGGGCACTAATCCCAATTATAAGGTCTTCACCCTTAGGACCTAATCACCTCCCAAAAATCCACCTCCTAGTACCATTACATTGGGAGTGAAGATTTCAACATATGAGTTGTTGGGGTGACACAAACATTCAGATCATAGCAGCTGTTTAGCTACAGAGCTAAATAGTATTAGTTTCCAAATCATATCTCAGCTGTTTCTCCACCACTAGGCCATGAGCTCCTTTAGCAATGGAACCTGGCTTACCCATCTTGCATTCTTCCTTTCTTGGCACAAATATGGTGGGTAATTTTCCCAAACAGTAACCTCCCTAGTATAGTTCATTTGGCCTAGTAAGTTGTATCCAAACGATCACTGTATTCACTTATAAATGCTCTCAAACTGGTCCAAGGTCTAAACAAAGCTGGAAATTGATCAAAAATGACCCATTCATGCATTCTGGAATTCAGCCATTCCCAGTTGCTTTTTTAGAAATTGGCATAATTTTCTATTATTTATGCATTCTGGAGAAATATGTCATAGACCCCTGTATCATGAAATACCCAGGTCTGTGGTTCCTGTCTCATTCTCCCTGGTTTCTCAGAGATGATCTACACACAGTTCTATTTCCCAGATGATACAATAGAATCCACTTTATATAACATAAGATAATCCATGTGGCCCTGGTCTCTCAGTTCTTTTGAAGAAACGAATGTTCTTCAACATTCGTTTCCCTGTTTGTTGATCTTTACAGGCAGGGAAGAGGGATTCGAGGCAGGGTTGAGTCGGCGCTACATTCTCTGCATCTGCTCATGGTTTTCTTGCCTTGTTTGCAACTTCCACAGCTCCTCCCTGCTTCTCTAGCAACCTCAGTCTTCCACACTCCTCTGTGCCTTTGTAAACAGCCTTTTGTTCACTGACGAGGAATCTGCAGCCGTGTCGGCTCTAAACCAACCTCCCACCATTCTCTGGGTACAGTCCTACTCAGGAAGGGACAGGAAGAAGAGGGATGGAGGGGGCTGGAGATTATTGTGTTTGGTGGGGGACAGGGAGGGAGACAGCACACAGAGTTCAGAATGGGGCAACAGGCCCGCCAAGGCTGCACGGCCGGCTTATCTGGGCCTGTGACCTCACCGTGCAAAGGAGACGGACCAGAGAATTCTGAGTCCTTTCCAGCTCTAAACACTCCTACCCTAAGCATCTATATGCCAAACAAGACTTTCCTGACGTTTGTCTCTGGATACTGAAATTAGGAGTTTTTATTTTTTCATTCCATTTTGCAAACAGTCTGAACTAAGATTACACTACTGTGTTTGTGTTTTGTGTGTATTCAGAAGCACAAAAAGTCTGTGATTCTAGAAAGAAGTAGAAAAGTTCTTTTTTTAAAAAAAAAAAAAAAGTTAGGGGAATGAAACAAATGTTAAAAATAAAGGCAGAGGAGAAAGAAAGGCCCAACTGGAGGCCCCAAATCCATCTAGAGCCTAGAAGCCCGGGTTTCCCACCCACCGGCTGCAGTCCTCGTCAGCTCTCTGGCGCCATCTGCTGGTCTGCACAGGAGCAACCGTTTAATTTGGCTTGCAAAAGTGCTCTGACGCGAATCCACTGTGAACTCTGGACCGGGTCACATTCAGCACAAAAATCGCATTCTTGCCCCATACTTGCATCCATAATTCCCTTGTGACTTCGCCTTGTAGTACTAATTGTAACAGGGACACCTGGGCAAGTCCCTTCTGCATAAGGCCCAAAATGGTCACCCAAAATCGGTGAGTCTCTTGCTATGGAAAGCCCAGGAATGCACCTCCAGCCCCGTCCGTGCAGCGCTCCGACACCACGTGGAGGAGAAGGCACTCTGCAGAACCCGCCCTCAGCCCGCACCAGCTGTGCAGGGGACTTGTTGCGTGCCAATGTGTCTCTGCTTCCGGGTTTCCCACAGATCTTTAACTCATTGGCCTTTGGGCTAATTCAGTCCTTCAAGAAGCCCCAGCTCAACACGCCAGGAAGTCCTCTCAGGTGTCTTCCACCCCATACCAGCCCTGTTTTCCCACTACCCAATAAAAGTGTGACCCCTCCCCCACGCCCTGTTGGTCCCACCCTCAGGACCTGGTGGTCCAGGTGAACGCTGGCCCTCTTTCTGAGCTGAACCTCCCCACAGAAGCTGTCAGCAAAGACTCCGTTGCTGTCCGAGGCTGGCCTTTAGGTGCAGGACACTATGCATGTCCAGCGAGGCTTGTCGAAGCCACATCTGTCGTAAATATTGATGGGAAAAGCGTTTTCCTTCTAACGCGCCTAATTCCAATTCTAAAAGGCACCTCTAATGTCTTGCTGAACTTCATCAAGGTCTTCACGTGGTTTCCTTAGTAAAGCGTGATGAGAAGGTCCATCCTTCTCAGGATGAAGGAGGGGCCCAGGAAGCCCTGATTGGTCCTGCCCTGGAGGGAAGGGCTGCCATATTTGGAGACCTGCAGGAATGCCACCTCCCCCAGCAGCTCCTATATAGCTGGGCGGGCCTGGCTGCCAAGAGGGTGTGCTGGGGGACTGTGCAGCTCGAGGCTCCAGAGGCACACTCCAGAGACAGTCAAGGTACGTGGAGGGGGGGGGGCACTTCCGTGGTCAGGCCTGCAGGTTTCTTATCAGGGCTGTACCCCAGACTGAAAATCATGCAACAATTTCTTTACTCCCACTTGATGAGTTGCAAGTTCAGGGGAGACTTGCAAGGATACTCAGTCATCCCTGTGTTTGCCTTTCTATATGCTGGTGCTATAATAAAATGCTACGTTAGGATTCGTTGGTTGGGTTTTGTTTTGCCTTTAAGCCTCTGCCTATGAAAACTAATTTCTTTCTCAAGAACGCTGTGCTTTTATTTTTTTTTAATTTGACTCACCTGTAATGATCTATTATGTCATTCTTATTTAATGTTTCTCCTTAAATATGGAATGACATGGAGTATGGCCCACTAGTTAGGAGACTAATGAACGTTTGCTTCATGCTTGGACCTCTTTGGAGAAAGCCAGTCTGAGTTCACTGTGTTCGGGGGTGGGGGACAGAGAGTGGGGTGAGGGGGGCCAGGTGCTCATGCCCACCATGGGACAGAGACGAGGCAATGTCCACCAGCAAGGGAAGGTCCGTGAGGCTCCTTTGCCGGCCTCTAGAGATGACTGGATGTGTTTCTAGAGATGACTTCATCTGTGTTTTGTGTTTGTTTGTTTGTTTGTTTTTAAATATAAGGACCAATGTGGCATCCGAGTTGAACATTTTAACAGAGGCACATTAGCCACTTTTAGGAGTACTGCAGGGGGCAGAGGAGGGTGTGGGAGGGGCTAAACAAGCTCTCTCTCAGCCTCCTCCAGCCCTGCAGCCCCTCGGACTCACAGTATGTCTCTGCCCAGGAGACAGCTTAGGCAGGCTCCGCTGTGGGAACTCTTTCCGTTTCCCTGATCCACACAGACAAAGGCCCAGGTGCCGGAATGCCCTGACAGTTGGCCTTAGGAAGTGGATTTCCCCAACAGCTATTGTAGTTTCAGGACCCGGGTGTGACCGGCAAGATGGAAGGAGGGTGGTGAGGGGCTTTTCCATGACATCAACTGCCGCCTTTTGTATGACCCAGGGCCACCTCCACCCAGGACCCCCCTAGTGTCCCCCCAGGCCCTCTTGTCCTCCCCTTCATCTCGTTTTCTCCAAACTTCCTCAAGGTCCCTGCTCTTTGCCCTTTGCCCAGCCCAGGGCGCATCATGCCCAGTGAGTGAAAAGCACAGTGTGTGAGCACTGTCTTCTCCCAAAGCCCAGGTGGGCAGCGGGGCACGGCTATGGACACATGGAGTGCAGCATTAGACAGAGCCCAGTGCAGGCCTGCCACCTCCCCCTGAGCAGCCTTGGGCAAATCTCTTAACTTCTCTGAATGCCAGGACAACATTTATAACATGGGAATAATAAGGCACCTACCCCATGTGAGAATTAAGTTAGGCAATGTCAGAAAAGGGCATGAAGAAGGTGTGCAGTAAAAAGCCAGTAGGAAAAGCAGAGGGTCACACTGTCCCCCAGGGCTGAGGTTGGAAAGGATGACTGTAACACACTTGACCCCTGGATATAAGGGAGGCAGGGGTCCCTTCACTACGTTTCCATCCTTCCCTCTCCCCCACCCTCCTCCTCCTCTCTCTCTCATGACTGCAAAGCCCTTTAGGATCAGCTGGGTGTGGTAGTGTGCGCCTGTAGTCCCAGCTACTCTGCAGGCTGAGGCAGGAGGATTGCTTGAGCCCAGGGGTTCAGGGCTGCAGTGAGCTATGATCATGCCACTGCACTCCAGCCTGGGCAACAGAGTGAGACCCTGTCTCATACACACACACACACACACACACACACACACACACACACACACATATATGCACATATATATATATATATTGAGAGAGAGAGAGAGTCCACACAATCATTTGATTCCAGCTCTTCTATTGTATTTTCCTCCCAGGGATTTCTTGATCTGAAAGACTCGGGAGTATCAAAGAAAACCTACATGTATGAAGTCACCACTCCTTTATTTTCCCATGCATGTTCAAAGCCTCTGTGATTGCCCTTTGCAGTTCTCATCTGTCTAGGAAAACTGGACCAGGGCCCTGAGTGGATGTAATCTTAGCAGTAACAAAAAGCTCGAGTTAACCCTGCACAACCCAAACGTGGGGGAACGATTGTGCTTTTGAGACCACATACATAGCACAAGAATGCAATTCCTTCCTTAAAATCTCCTGCACTCAGGAGAGGGGCAAGGGAGCCCGGGGGAGGGGACACTGGTGGGGAGCTGACCACAGTTGTTTCTCTCACAGGCTCTGCCGCAATGAGGAAGCACCTGAGCGGGTGGTGGCTGGCCACTGTCTGCATGCTGCTCTTCAGCCACCTCTCCGCAGTCCAGGCGAGGGGCACCAAGCACAGAATCAAGTGGAACCGGAAGGCCCTGCCCAGCACTGCCCAGATCACCGAGGCCCAGGTGGCTGAGAACCGCCCGGGAACCTTCATCAAGCAAGGCCGAAAGCTCGACATCGACTTCGGAGCCGAGGGCAACAGGTACTATGAGAACAACTACTGGCAGTTACCCGATGGCATCCACTACGACGGCTGCTCCGAGACCAACGTGACCAAGGAGGTGTTTGTCGCCGGCTGCATCAACGCCACCCAAGCGGCAAACCAAGCGGAGTTCCAGAAGCCAGACAACAAGCTCCACCAGCGGGTGCTTTGGCGGCTGGTCCAGGAGCTCTGCTCCCTCAAGCACTGTGAGTTTTGGTTAGAGAGGGGCGCGGGACTTCGGGTCACCACGCACCAGCCGCTGCTCCTCTGCCTGCTGGCTTTCATCTGGCTGATGGCGAAATAAGCTTGCCAGGAGGCTGGCAGTGTAGAGCGCAGCAGTGAGCAAATCCTGGCAAGTGACCCAGCTGTTCTTCCCCAAACCCACGCATGTTCTGCAGGTGCCCAGGAGTTGTGATGCACTTGCGCCGCAAATGCCGCTCCCACTTATGCGCCCTGGTATGTGCCCGTGTTCTGATAGATGGGGGCTGTGGCTTCTCCAGCACTCCATTCTCAGCCCCTAGCAGAGCATCTGGCACACTAGGTTAGTAATACATGCTTGATGAGAAGAACACTCAGGAACTGCACCACCTGCCTCATGGTACTTCCCAACAACTCTTTGAGGTAGGTGTACTCCCGTTTTACAGATGAGGAAACTGAGGCTCAGAGAGCTGAAGTAGTGCACCCAGCATCACCAGCTAGAAAGTGGAAGAGCCAGGATTCAACCCTGGCTTGTCTAACCCCAGGTTTTCCGCTCTGTCCAATTCCAGAGCTGTCTTGTGATCACTTTACGGCTCGCAGGGACTCCCATTCAAACATGTACCTCTAATGAAACTGTAGAAGCTCCATGTTTAGAAATAAATGAAAGCACCTGAACTGGTGGCTGTGTACTTTGATTGGTACATGGAGGATATTTTAATCCTTCTCGCTAAACTAAAATAGAATAAAGGAATTAAACTAAAATAGAAGTAAAGCTAGACAAAGGCCCAGAAATCATACTGTAAGGAAATATTGAAAGCTGATTCCCAGAGTATACAGCACGATGTGTCTGTGACATGAACATTTTCTTTTTCTTTTTCTTTTTTCTCTTTTTCACTCTTGTCACCCAGGCTAGAGTGCAATGCCATGATCTCGGCTCACTGTAACCTCCGTCTCCCAGGTTCAAGCACTTTTCCTGCCTCAGCCTCCCGAGTAGCTGGGATTACAGGTGCGTGCCATCATACCTGGCTAATTTTGTATTTTTAGTAGAGATGGGGTTTCACCATGTTTGGTCAGGCTGGTCCCAAACTCCTGATCTCAGGTGATCCACCCACCTTGGCCTCCCAAAGTGATGGGATTCGACTTTTTTTTTTTTTTTTTTCAAAATAAGGATAAGTGCTTGCTGTTCCCATTCCTCAAACATTGCATGTATTTAAGAAAAAAAAATGTGAATGGCATGTTTGTTCTAATGTTCCCCAACCCTATGTGCATGTTTTCTGTGCACCCATATGAGTATCTTTAAATATAATCCCTTTATATCTGTGTTCTATACAGTTTCTCAGTTCTTTCAACACAGTCTGGTGAGGGCCATCATCTCTGTAAACCACTTACCACTACAAAATATATAATTACTCACCAAAAAGGTTTTAAAAACTGTGTCTTTAGGGAGACCCAATAAAGAATTCAATCCGTGCCATAAGCAGGAGTTGATACACCACCTTATTAGTTTAAAATATACATAACAAAATATGTATAATGTTTAAAGTATGTTTTAAATTTAAAACAGTGAATCGAAGGCTCTAAGATGTCCCCAGAGGCGCTCTGGGCCACTCTCAGAGACTCCCAGGCATTGCTGAATTATATTCAGAGAAAACAGCCACTGAATATTATCAGTTCTCCTTCAAAGAGTTTATCAGTTTATCCAAAGCATTTCAGAACATGAGTGCTGAGGAGGGCATCTCCCCTGCTGAGTCCCCTCAGCTATCAGTGTTCTTTTCAAGGTCACATTTGGAAGATTTTAACATTGAAAATGGGCAGACGACTTGGGGGCAGGGCAGCACTGGACACGACGTGAGGGAGACGTCCACCCTGCAGCCAGGACCGGGATTCAGCTGCGGCCAGCGCCAACTCGCCTTCTGCTTCCACAGTCCTATTCATCTTAGATCAGAGAGCAAGAAAAAAAGCACAGAACATGTCCACTACAGTTATTTCCTGCTTTCTAATTTAAAAAAATATAACCACAATGGCAAGAGAGAAAGAAAGAAAAAGTACCCAGAGGCTGACACTATTTCATTTCCTCGCTCTCCTAAGTTTAATTACAAGGGCACGTGCAGCCACATAAGACAAATGACTTCATTTCTGATGTGGAAACGCTTAGGCCATGATGTCATTCATTTTCTGCAATTGCTGTCTTTTCTCATTTTGTTAATAGTCCCAGCAACCAGATTTCAGTGGAGCATGAGGTGAATGTGTACATGGTGATTCAAATGCAAAATTGGCTTACAGAGCTTTTAATTGAAAGCCTGTGTGCTTGAACATTCTTGCTCAAGTTGATGAATCATGGGGTGGAATAAAGGCTTTGTGAGTCTGGTTTGTCACTTTAGCAAAGGGGTATGGAGTGCCTACTGTGTGCGAGACATTGTGAGGGGCTTCTGAATTATGCTGGACATAGTCATTTTGTGGCGTGAAAAATTTCCCCAGCCATTGCTTTCTTGCCCCCTGATAAGTGTTGACTTTTTAAAATGTAAGTTTATTGTAAAAGTGACATGAAAATTACAACAGAAATTCCAATCCAAAAAAATAGCACAATCCCAGCACCTGACTCAGTGTTTGCTGTTCCCCCTGTGTTTGCCTCGTTCTTAACCATTTGCATATGTAAACATTCATATTTGCCACAGAAAAAACAGGTGAGCTTTTATATTCTAAATTTTTACTTCATTCAATGCTTTTTACTCATTTTCTGTATTTTTTCTTTTTCTTTTTTTTTTGGAGGTGGAGTCTTGCTCTGTTGCCCAGGCTGGAGTACAATGGTGCAATCTTGGCTCACTGCAACCTCCACCTCATGGGTTCAAGCAATTCTCATGCCTCAGCCTCCCAAGTAGCTGGGATTACAGGTGCCTGCCACCAAGCCTGGTAAATTTTTTTGTATTTTTAGTAGAGAAGGGTTTCGCTATGTTGGCCAGGCTGGTCTCGAATTCCTGACATCAGGTGATCCACCCGCCTCGGCCTCCCAAAGTGCTGGGATTACAGGCAGAAGCCACTGCGCCCTGCCTACTTTTATTTTCTTTCTCCCCACCCATCTTCCCCGGTCCTGCGCCCCTCTTCCAGCCTGAGATGCAGCCTCCATCTTAACTGTGCTCAGATACGTAAGTGAGGGATTTTTATTTGATTGTGCCTTTTAAAAATACTGTGAACGTAAAATATTTATTCATCTGCAATTTGGCTTCCCTAACTTAACGCTGCATCATAAAACTCTCTGGAACTGCAGCTGCCTAGATAGCTAACTCATTCTTTTGGATTGCTATGTAATCTCACTTAATACAGATGTACCACGGTTGATTGAATCATTGCCTTGTTAATGGGTCTTCAGATTATTTCCAGTTTTTTGTCACTGCAAACAATAAACATCCTTGTACATACTACATTACAGTCTGGTATTTTTGTTTCTGTGGAATAGATTCACACGTGCAAAATTTCTGGAACAAAGCCTGTGTATAATTTAAATTTTACCAGCCATGACCAGGTTATGTTTGCACATAGCTGGAGCAGATCCCATTCCACCAGCTGTTTATGGCGTGGATTTGGAAGAGTTTCTATCACTTAAATATGAGAAACCACCTTTCTATAAATGTTGCCAGCAGCTTCTCTCTTTTGCAAATGGCACACCTAAAGCTTTCTAAAACTTTTGACCATGAGGACCGTTGGAAAATCCTAAAACTGACAGCAATTTTCATTCTAAACCTGGTCCTTGGCCCAAAACATCTGCACGAGAAACCTGGAAAACAGGCAGTGAATGTGTAGGCTTCTAACTCAGAGGGTGGTGTGTCTTCACAGCTCCGCACACCCCAGCAACTGGGAAGGCTTGAGGTGAGGTTATGCCCTGGATTTTGTACTGACTTTTACCAAAATGACACATGCAAGTATTTGCCTTCCAGCCAGAATACCCTCTAGATCCAAAAGCTCAAAAGGAGCTGAGATTTGAACACACTGTTAAGTAGCCCACGCTGTTCCTCCCCTCCAGGCTGGGACAGACACTCAGCATTTCCCTGGAGCCCCTCACACCCTGCCTTGCTTAGGATGTGCCTGACAACGTCTAAAAACTCCACCCTCTGGTCCTAATAGGGTGTCCCAGGCTCTGGCCTTCAGTTTGTCTTGAGCTGCCCACACTCTCTACCGCAAGCTTTCTGATAACAAGTGACTGGATTGGGGTGGTGGCCGATTGGGTCAAGGAACCCAGGCCCTACATCGTACCTATGGTGTGGCCACATCTTGTTCCTGTAGCCAACGCTTTTTCCTCATTGCTGTCGATGGATGGACACGTGCACCCTAAGCTGCCTGTGTGTTGCTGCGTGGCACATCCTGGAGTCTACCAGGGTCTGTACTGAAATGCGACAGCAGGGCCCTTGTGCCCTCGTGTAACCGGCGCTGTCACAGACCACACCTGCAGGCGAGTGATCAAGAAGACTTACACAGACATGGCAGCATGACTAGTTTTGGTTTTTCTGGCTCAGACACCACTCTATTGAGGAACAGACCTCTCGGTGAGCCTGGCTCAGGCCAGAGGCTGAGAGTTTGCTGTCTACCCAGAGGCCACAAGTCAGAGATGAGCGAGGGCTTCCTCTTCCCTTATCCTCGGTGCTGGCAGAAGACCCCATTTCTGTGGGGCACCCGGCTTCCCTGGTGGAAGAAAAAGGAGCCCAACCCTCATGCCTCTGGGAATGCATCCCTACAAAATGGGAATAACTCAGATATTCCCTGCAAAATTAGAATAAAATACTATGCCTTTGAGAAACCTCAAAGCACATTCCAGATCATCTAAAGACTGCCCCAGAAAAACAGACTCAGCTGTTTCCATTCGCAAATTCGCCTGGGCTCAGGGCTTTAGGGAGCCTCACTTTGGAGCAAGAGCAAGCACCAGGAAGTGACCAAGATTCCACCCCCAGAGCACTAAAGCCCTGAGGCCTCCCTCACACAGTGAGCCCCAGACCCCCTATAGAGGCTGGGAGAGTCTATTCCTCTGGCATTGCGTGAGAGGCCTCAGACTGAAACAAGCCCCATGCACTGACCACTCCCCTTCTAAAGGGACCTTCCTGGTCAACACAAAGCTGATCCCCGAAAAAAGCTCATCCTCCAATACTCAAGTGTCATCCCTGTACCCTGGGCTGAACTGTAACAGGGCACACACATTCCCTGGAAGCTTGGTAAAATGCAGCTTCTGCTTCCGCAGGTTTGGGGCAAACCAGATTCTGCATTTCTAATAAGTGTCACTGCCTCCTCCAAGATACCCTGCACCCTGAACTGAACTTCATTCCTCCACCAGCCCCTCCCACACTCTCACCCATCCTGGGGATTCCCAGATCTTGTTTTAATGCAAACTCTTTTGTGAGAAAGCATTGCAAGAAGGGATTGCTTTCTTAAACAATGCAAATTGTTTTGACTCCAACAGGCTTGGCCATAATCTATGGAAGGAAATTGGCAGAAGGCCAGAGAGGAACTAGAGGAAGCCAGAAGCAGACAGGTCAAGGCTAGAGGAACTCACGCAGCTGGCCTCCCTGGATGGAGGGAGGTGGGTGGTGGGAAGGAAGAGGGGAGGTACTGGTTGCGGGGAGGAGACCAACCGTGCACCTGGTGTCCAGGGGAGAATTACATGCTCAGGCTTATCAGAGGTGACATCATCATCCAGCAGAGGAAGGTGTTTTGCAACCAGGGGCTCCATGCTCAAGAAATAACATTCAGCACCAAGGAGAGGGATTTTCAAGAACGAAGCAGGGGATAAGATGCAAGCCATGTCAGTTGTGTTGTGCTGGAATTTCCAAATCTGTAATTATGATTCTAATTTTTTTTTGAGACGGAGTCTCACTCTCACCCAGGCTGGATTGCAATGGCTCAATCTCAGCTCCCTACAACCTCCGCCTCACAGGTTCAAGCAATTCTTCTGCCTCAGCCTCCTGAGTAGCTGGGACTACAGGCACCCACCACCACACTCAGCTAATTTTTTTCTGTATTTTTAGTAAAGACGGAGTTGCACCATGTTGGTCAGGCTGGTCTTGAACTCCTGACCTCATGATGATCCACTTGCCTCAGCCTCCCAAAGTACTGGGATTACAGGCTTGAGCCACCACACCGGCTAAGATTCTAATTTTTTTAATTGGCTGTTTTGGTTTGGGGCCACTTAGCAATCAAGAACAAAATTGAGGCGCTTATGACATCTCTTAAATACTGTTTATTCCTGCTGGTGTCCAAGCCAAATCATGTCACTGCCTCTGCTTTCCTGGGGAAACCAAATAAAGGGAGCAGGAAGCAAAGGACTGGTGGGTTTTTCTCAGCGTTGGGCCCACTTGGCATAGCCAAATGGTGGAAGCCTCCACCCAAAGTTAATGGATTTTCTAGACTCACTTGCACATGAGCAGACTCCAAGAAGTTCCTTCTGGAATTTCAAATGTGATGTAGTCTGAAAATCTGCTCCCTGTCAGCTGGGAAGATGCTGACTTGTGCAGATGGCTGTTTCTAAAAGTCCAGCTGTCAGACTCTCATTCATGTCCACTGCACCCTCTGCCTCCCAGGTTCAAGCGATTCTCTTGCCTCAGCTTCCCGAGTAGCTGGGATTACAGGCGCATGCCACCATGTCCAGCTGGTTTTTTGTATTTTTAGTAGAGAAGGGGTTTCACCATGTTAGCCAGGATGGTCTCAATCTCCTGACCTCATGATCCGCCCGCCTCAAGCCATCCAAAATGCTGGGATTATAGGCGTGAGCCACCGCGCCCAGCCGTTATCCCACCATTTAAAGAGAAAAGTCTCTATAATAGCTTGAAACCATGGAGTTACTTTAATTTCACCACTGATTACTTTTTTCAGAAGTTCTAACTCTTCCTTTAACACACAGAAAATAACTTTTTATCTCACTGGGATCTGAATTCAAAGTTATGTTCTTCCTCACAAACAAAATATCATCAGTTTTATGTTCACCCCAGATGCCATCAGATTGAACTTTGTTGCGAGTTCATGTTAGATAATAGGTTTCTTCTGGAGGAGCCTCTTCCATGGGAATTCCTACTTCAGCTTTTAGGTCCCTCTGTGCTGCTCAGCTTATGCCATTGACATCATTTTTCTCAAGCTTGCCTGGATTACTTAATGGATGACTACAAATAAGTATTGGTGAAGCTGCCTAGGTAGGTAATTGTAACATCTGATCTCTGCTGTCACAGGAACTCATTTTGGTGTTGAGTAAGAAGACACTAAGAGCTTGATGCAATAATCCATTCCTAGTGTTTTCATTCAGGTGACAATTCTTGGTCTCAGCTCCAATTTGACTGCCATTTTCATCAATAAGAATACTCTTCTCTGTTGTACACAGAGGTTCACACCTGTCATCCCAACATTTTGAGAGGCCAAAGTGGGAGGATCGTTTGAGTCCAGGAGTTCATGACCAGCGTAGGCAACATCACAAGATCCTGTCTCTGCAAAAATTTTAAAAATTCATTGAGTGTGATGGTGCATGCCTACAGTCTCAGCTACTCAGGAAGCTGAGGCAGAAGGATCACTTAAACCCAGGAGGTCAAGGATGCAGTGAGCCATGATCACACCACTGCACTCTAGCCTGGGTCACAGGGCAAGACCCTGTCTCTAAAAAATAAGTAAATAATGAATTTTTAAAATAATACACTCGTAGTGCTCGCTTCGGCAACACATGTACTAAAATTGGAACAATACAGAGAAGATTAGCATGGCCCCTGTGCAAGGATGACATGCAGATTCATGAAGTGTTCCATAGTTTTAAGACCACCCACACAATGAAGAAACTGCATCAACTAATGGGCAAAACAGCAAGCTAGCATCAAAATGGCAGGACCAAATCACACATAACAATGTTAACCTTAAATGTAAATGGGCTAAATGCCCCAATCAAAAGACACACACTGGCAAATTGGATAAAAAGTCAAAATCCATCAGTGTGCTGTATTCAGGAAACCCTTCTCACGTGCGAGGACACACATAGGCTCAAAATAAAGGGATGGAGGAAGATTTACCAAGCAAATGGAGAGCAAAAAAAGCAGGAGCTGCAATTCTAGTCTCTGATAAAATGGACTTTAAGCCAACAAAGATCAAAAGAGACAAATAAGGGCATTACTTAATGGTAAAAGGATCAATGCAACAAGAAGTGCTAACAATCCTAAATATATACGCACCCAATACAGGAACACCCAGGTATATAAAGCAAGTTCTTAACGACCTACGAAGAAACCATCATTCTCAGCAAACTGACACAAGAAGAGAAAATCAAACACCCCATGTTCTCACTCATAGGCGGGTGTTGAACAGTCACAACACAGGGAGGGGAGCATTGCACACTGGGGTCTGTTGCAGGGGACTAGGGGAGGGACAGCGGGGGGTAGGGAGGTTGGGGAGGGATAACATGGGGAGAAA